AGGGCAATGTTGGAAGAAGGAATCTTTGCCTACCTTGCAAGAGTGGTTTTTTAAAGTTTCTTATTTGGCGGAAATGGCAAAGATTTCGGCTTTCTTGAAAGACCAATCGCAAGAGAAGTATTTTTTGGTATGGAAAAAATGGATAGACTTTATACAATATAAGTTGGATATAAAAAAATATTATTTAGCTTTCTAATAACTTATACTTAAAATTTAAGATATTTTATAGACTTTTTTCTTTTTTCTTTCTTCCTATTTTCTTGTATTTCCTTGTATTTTTGTTTTTATATATATATATATTATTGTTAACTAGTTTACAATTTGTTTAATTAATGTATTTAGATTTGTTTATGGTTTATATCTGTTTTAAGACTTTTTGAAAAAATATTAATTAAGCCTGTATTCAGCTCTGGGAAGGTCGGGGGAGGGCATGAGAGGGTTGGGGGGGCTCGGGGAAGGGAACCGTATTGTTTTGTAAAATTTAAAAATTTTCAATAAATATATATATATATATTTGGTAAGTAATTATTATTATATGTTTTAACTTTCTGTAACTCTGGCTTTATAAATTTTATAAAGTAAAGTTACTTCCCTATTTATAAATCACCATTACTGTGGAACCGGTGGACGGTTAGAAAATTTTACTACTAACAGAGATACAAAAGTGGGCGGTAGGTATAAAAAGGTTGACTACCCCTGGTCTAGATAAACTAGGATCCCTTTGTATAAATGTTCATGTAGGATTTCGTTAATCTCTTGCACAAAAAATGTGGGTGCCCTCAGTAGCCCAAAGGGTAGTACACAGAACTGGAAACATCCTAGCAGGCAAATGAAGGCTGTTTCATTCCTCTCGATGCATACTCAGTAATACCTCTCTCTTAGATCTAATTTGGTGAAAATCCTTCCCTTGGTTAGATGGGCAAGTATGTCCTTCATCAGTGGGAGGGGGAGATGTTTTCAAGGCAGATGGCACTTAGCCCACGGTAATCCATGCATAGGCAGAGGGAACCATCTTTTTTCTCCCAAAAAAGTACAGGTACTGCCATATGTGACTTTGACAGTTGAATGAAACCCTACGGGAGGTTCTTGTCTATAAAGACTCAGAGTTTGTTTAACTGTTTTGGGATCATGGAGTACAGTTTTGGTTTAAAAAGTTTGGCCCCGGGTACTATTTCTATGGAGCAATCTGTGGCGATGAGGGTGAAGTGTGTCTGAGTCCCTTTCACTGAAAACTTTCTGTAAGTCCCAATACTCTTTGGGGATTCGAGGATCCGCCTTTGTTTGCGCACTGCTGCAGCTCCTTCCTCTTTCACTTTCTTAATGGGCAACGCACTGAGCTGCGAGGTCAACTTTTCTTTCAGTCCTCCCTCGACTGGTCTCTGCCTGATTTTTAATATTCACCTCCTCCAATTTATGGAGGGGTTCTACTTTAATAGCCACACTAAGCCCAGCAGTATGGGTCTGTCGATGCCTGGTGCTACTATGAAACTGATGGTTTTTCATGGGGCCCCATCTTCATCTCTACAGGTTCTGTAACAAACAATGCAGGAGCCACTCTTGCTATTGAGCCATCTAGCTGACAAAATGCTACAGGGACTTTTAGTTCCCTGAGTCATATCCCCAGTTTCTCCACTATGCCAGGGCTGACCAGGCATCTGGTGCACCCTGAGTCCAATAATGCAATCAAGTTCTCCATGCGCGCCAAGGATGGTACACTTAATTCAATTGGGATTGTTACGGGTATGATGGGGCGACTTACCAAGGATCGTCTATTCTGCTGTCACTCTCCATCCCAAGCTTGGGGAACTAGGTGTCAAGCATCAAAGAAACATTATTCTGCTTCAGCCATTATTGTTTCTTAGCTTGCCTACAGACACAGGAGAGGGAAGATGATTGGAGTCTCAGTGCATCTGTAAACAGTCCAGCCTGGAAACCAAGGTCATCAGAGAACCGTTCGGCTGACAACTGAAGATTTTTCTCATAACAAATGTCTGACACTTAATTGGGGGGATGTGACCTGCTCCATCAGAGGGGAAAAGAGGTTCTATAGTTTTAATTTATTGTTCTGGTGCCATTTTCGCCAGACTGGTTTTCTATTGCCCCGATATGTTATACTCAATAAAGTTTTGCATTAGAGATTGGAATGTCTCAGCTATGCTTATTTCATTGGGATCATCAGTCAGAATCTTGACACTTGGTCTGAGTTCCCTCACCATCACCAGGCGGTGGAGTAAACTCAAACTTCTACCCCCTTAAGGGTCATCTCTCATGGCTTTGTGAAACCTTTGCTTCCTCACTGCACAGGGCTGGACATTGGTTAGGGTGCTCGGCAATCAGCTGCTCTATGGCCCTCCTTGCCACAGTGAAAGCAGCTGGTGGAGCGGCAGTGTGGGCTCTGTTCTCTTTTCCCCAATTTTGGGATTTCTTTCTTTTCCATGGGAAAAGGTCGTCTCTACTCTCCACTAGCATGGGTGTGGTATCTGGCTAGGTCGATCCCTACTTCATCAGCATCAATGAAGGGTTCGTGGTATGCCCCTGGAGAGACAGGTATAAAAGATCTCATTTCTCAGGCCATCTTGGAAACACTCAATTAGCATGTCTTGTGGCCAGTTGATCAGCTTGCAGGCCAGGCTTCAGAATTCTTGAATGTAGATAGCAACGGGTCACCTGCCCTGCCTTATGAACATGATTCTTGTCTTGGCCTTTCGGTCAGTGAGGGGGTCTTCGAAATGCTTCCTCAGGGCCACCATGAATATATTGAAGTTGTATGGGTCATTTTTCTGGAGGGCCACCATCCACTCTTCTGCCTCACCCTTTAACACCATGGTGATAATTCTTACTTTAGCCAGGTCAGTTGGCAGGTCGGCCCCATATTGTTGTATATAATCTACACCTGAGTAAGGAAGAATGCCAGCTGTTCACCCCAGGGCCAGTGGTCTGCATTCTCTTTTCCACAGGAGGTCCGCCTAGGCTGATGGCAGTAGCCGTACTGCTCTCAGCTGTTGGACTGGAGTCAGCGGCACAGGTGCTGGCGTCAAAGCTGCTGCAGTCACTGCATCAGCTGACTGGGCTGGTGATGGTGCTGGCCATTCTTAGGCTTCTCAGGTCTGAAGCAGTCAAAAGCATCTGTCAGGAAGTCTATAACTTGCTAAAAAATGAAATCATGGGGGTCTGGCTCACTTCCTGTTGCCCCACACTCTTCTTTGGCTGGTGGTGCTCGTGGTCAGCTCCCTTGGCTTCTCTAGGAAAAAGTTACCCCAGAGGACTTCTCTTCATGTTCTTCCATTTTCCTGATACCTATGGACCATAGGAATTTTGGCTGGTCCCTCAGGGCTTCTGCCTCCTCTTCCAACTCCAGGTAGACTTCCCTACTCCTGGGTCTTTAGTAAAAATATACCTTTTCTCTTCCAATGGAGTCAAGGGTCTTTCTTTCCTAAGCATGCAAGCTGGGACAGGGCTGACATTAAGCCAGACCTGCAATAACATTCCACCCAGAAACTCACGTCTACCATGGCGATGGTGCATAGAATGTCCATCCACAAAAGTGAGCACAAGGAGATGAAGAACTGGGAAGAAACTGCCTCAAGTGTTTTTGCATAAAACATACTTTTGGGGAATTACCGCAAAAAGGTCAACCTTGGTCTCATCAGACCCTAATACATTTTCCCACATGCTTTTATCAGACTTGATGTAGGTTTTTGCAAAATGTAGCGAGGCTTGGATGTTTACAGTCCAGACATATGAAGAATACAGAAGATTGTTCTCACATGTAATATATAACAAGTACTTGCAAGAAATTCCTCCAGCTCTTTTTAATATTGCTGTAGGCCTCTTGGCAGCCTCTTGAATCAATTTTCTTTTGGGTTTTTTTTCATCAACTTTGGAGGGAGATCCAATTCTTGGTAATGCCACTGTTGTGCCATATTTTTTCAATCTGTTGATGACTGGTTTCACTATGTTCCATAGTATATCCAATGCCTTGGAAAGTATTTTGTAGTCTTCTCCTGACTGATACCTTCCAACAATGATATATCCCTTTGATGCTTTGTAAATTCTGAAGGGTATGGCTTTTGCTGCAAGAGGCAACTGAATAAATGTCAGAAAAGTCCTATTAGAACAACTAAATTTTATATATATTTGATCATAGTGACTTTAATTTGATGACAGGTGTATATTGACTATTATTTAACATTGGCTTGAATGTGATTCAATTCAATTCTGAACACAGCTACATGCCTACTTGTAAGAGGGCATGCACTCTTATGCAACCAAGTTGTAAGTTTTTTATTTTTGCCCTTAAAAGATTTCAGTTTGTTGTACAGCTTATATGTTATATTAAAGATGGTAAAAATTCTGAAGTGATTTATCTTGGTCTGATTTTTAACTTCTCAAAAACCTGGTGTTTTAAGTGTGTAGATATTTTATATCCACTGCATACATATATACTCATTCTATCTAAAACTTTGTCCTAAAATCATGCACTGGTTATATATGTTAACTATGATTATTAACATAGTTTCTTTGCTTGCAAAGTACTATTTATTTTCACTGTTTTGTAAAAAGATTTATCTAATTGGTTACCATCTGTAAACTCCCCCAGAAATTTGGCTAATTGAACAAATTTAATGCCACAGGATTGCCCTTAAATTCCTCCTCCTCCTTTTTCTTAACAGAAAGTATCTCTAGTCACACAGCATAGGGATATCTAGATAACTGTAATAAAAACTGCTATTTTCAACTGAATATACACAATATAGAGCAAGCAACATCTGTTTCAGAGAGTTATTAGTGATACATCTCATTCATAAAAGAAAGTACTGTCCAAGCACCCGGCCCAAAATAACCCTTGATCTATAAAATGAATGTTCAAATAAATTTCATGTATATATTTACATTTTAATATTCATTTAAAGTTGTGTTGTAAATTATTATTTTTAAATAAACATTTTAGGAAGACCAAGTATAAGAAACTGTGGTAGTTTACAATTCTTTAACCATACCTGTGCACCATAGATATATTTGTCCAGCATCTTGCTTCCTATTGTTTGGCCTCCAATATCCCATACATGAAGAGTAACGTTTATATTTCCTGAAAAAGAGAAGGGGGAACAAAAAGCTGATGTATAAGGCATAGCTGAGTAACAGAATCAGATATTAAATAATCTTTACAATTCAGTATTGAAACACTGTACAATATACCTATATACAATGTGTTAATCACTAATGTATTTGTCTTGTAAAACATAAATAAGATTAGCAACAAGCTTTTTTACTACACACAACACATGGTTGGCTGTAATACATCAAATTTCAAAAAATGCTGAAATTCATTAAGAGGCTTCACTTGTTTTTTAAGCAGCAGTTGTACATAATACACTGTCAAACTGTTTTTACACAGAATGGTAATTTGAAATGCAGATTTACTTGGCTGCCCAGCTAATGTTTTCTAAGCTATGCGACTAAAAATAAAATATTGAAATGAAAAATAATATTTAAAACATTTTAAATGTTATAAAATGAAATTTAAAATTTTACTGGTAATGTTAGCCTAACATATATCTACTCAGAAGTAAACCCCAGTAAAATCAATGTTACTTACTTCCAAAGAAAAGTACAGTACTGCAGTCTTAGTAACCGAAATTATCAAACATAGGTTGCATCACAGAATTAATTTATTAGTTTAAAAGATGAGCTACTTAAGAGGCCAAGGCAAATGGCTGTATCTTTATTACGTTCCCAAAGGATGACAAAGATTGGGGGGAGGGGAGGACCTTTTGCATTCTACAGCAAAAGTACCATCACAAAGACAAATCCCTTCTCAGGATCCCTGCTCCCCCCTCACTGCATCTGATGGCAATCTGAAGAGCAGAGCAAAAGAATCTTCAGGTCCAGCACAATATCCGCAGAAGATAATTATTCTGTTATGCCCAAATAATTAAGACCATTTAAACTGGGCAAAAAAAATGGATTAGCAGCTATGTTTAGTTTTTTTAAATTTTCAAAGGCATAAAATAAGTGCTCTAAACTGTTAACTACTGTATTTCATCTTAAATATATCTCACCTCTTAAGATGATAATATGATTAAAGGCATGGTAGGCCATAAAAACAAAAAAAATAACAGCACATAGAGCATATTCACCCTCTGTCAATGCTCCAGTGATAAATGCACTGGGGGTTCCAGGAAGGATTCAGCCTGTCTAACAACTCATTAGCTCAGGGCGGATTCCTGACTGGATGGCAATTTACACTCATCCTCAGCCATATCACTTTTTCCTGGACTGTTTTAGAAACAAAAAAGTAAACCCCCAAATAGAGACACATAAAGTAGATTTTGGATACAAGCCTATAAACAAAATACAATATAATTTTGTGAGTTACTATGTCACAAATTACTGTATTTTCATTATTTGTTAACAGCCATCCAGCAAATACTCCTTGTGGGTAAAATACTTTTTCTTAGTAATGCACTTTTATCTTGTGGGTAAAATACTTTCCAAAAGGCCTCTGCAGCCAAGCACAGAGCTACGGATTGAACCCATAGGCTGTAGAGGCCTTTCCAGAAGGCCTCTGATGGCGAAATGAAGGCCAGAGGGCACCACATGCATCAATCTGGAGCTCCATTCTCAGCTGCAGAGGAATTTCCTGAAGGCCTCTGATGGCGAAAAGGAGGTCAGGGGCTCGCGCAAGCAGCAGCAAGCAGCTACAGAAGAAATGGGCCGGCTGGGCGGGACTGTTGGTGCCGCCACTGCAAGGTGAGACCGTGAGGCCCCAAATTGGAAGCGGATATTTCTCTCCTTTAAACAGCTCACCATACCGCTGATGCTATTTAAGATGAAGGCTTATCTAGCCTCCTTTCAAATCTCTCCCATCAGAGTTTTCTGTGAACATGAGAGCTTCCAAGGTTGCTGTCTCTTCCGCATTCTCAACCCTGGGAAAGGGAGAGGGAGAAAGTGGGAGTAAGCCAGCCCCATTTGGAGAAGACGTACTTAATAGCACAGAAACTGGGCTTATTAATGCTTTTGGCATTAATAAGTGAACAAGGAGTGAACAAGATAATATACTATTCCTTAGAAAACCTAAAGAAATCCTTATTGGTCACAATCGATATGGCTGAACCACTTATTGATTTGGTTTCCCCTATAATTCAGCCTCTTACTTTTTCCCCAGGGGGCAAGAGTTTGCAAGAATATGAGTTCATGGAAAGCAGAAGCCAAGATACACAGGGGCCAGTAGAGGCCCCAATAGAGAAGGAGATACTAGCATCCTTGTGTGATTTTCCAATGATACCCTCTGCAACACATCAATCTTGAGAGAGAGGACTCACATAAGTGCCTTCATTTCAAAGCCGAATGGAGCACAACCTAATAACTCCCTGCTCTACACCTAGAGAAGAGGCTCCGGAATGGCAAGCCTTGTTAGCTGGTGCTAAATCTTCTTACCTCAAACAAATTTCCCAGGAGTCTACACAAAATTTTGATGGGGCGCTCCTCCTTTTAGAGAAGGCCAATTTCGTGCGGGACGATACCTCAAGCCATTGCAACAACCCTACAACTTCCCTTTGTATAAATCAAATCTCCTGATGAGCTGCAAAAGATGATCCCCTCTCCATTATAACCTGGAATATAGCGGGTTGGTCTGTGCCATCAAAAGACCAACAGTTTTTTAACTCTGCTTAAGGAGCAATTTAATATGTTAATAGCGGATCAGATGGCAACTAATTTGAGGTATATGAAACACAATACATTTTGTAATGCAAATAAACCTGGTAGATGGTTGGCTTATCAATTACGTAAGAAACAGAAATCAAGGACTATAGATAAAATAATTTATAAAGGTAAAGAAGTGTATCAACAAAATTTGATTAAAAAGACTTTTTTAGATTTTTATTCAAAGTTATATGCTAGTGAAACTATACAAACTTCAGACATAGAAAAATATTTACAGGAAGCACATTTTCCTAGACTTACGATTGACCAACGTGATGGGATTAATGGTTTAATTACTTCTGAACAGATTATTTCTGCAATTAAACAATTGAAGGTTGGCAAGACTCCGGGTACTGATGGACTAACAGCAATTTATTATAAGATGCTATCTGAAGAAATGATAGAACCATTAAAGGAACTTTTCAATGATATTTTGTTGGGAGTAGAGCTACCTCCATCTTGGAGAAGGGCTTTTATATCATTGATTCCAAAGGAAGACCAGGATCTGTCCCAACCTAGAAATTATAGGCCTATATCTCTTTTAAATACAGATTATAAGATTTTTGCAAAGATACTGGCAAATAGATTAATGCAGGTTTTGAAACAATTGATTCATACTGACCAATCTGGATTTATAATGGGAAGATATATGAAATATAATGTAAGACAAATTGTTAACTTACTAGAGTATTTGGATAAGAACAATCAAATCCCTGCTGCTTTAATATTTATAGATGCTCAGAAAGCTTTTGATCAATTAGATTGGAAATTTTTATTGAAAGTTGTAGAGGAAATGAACTTTGGAGACAAATTTTTGTGTGCTCTCAAGGCCATATATCAAATCGGCACAAATTATAATTAATGGGGGATTAACAGATGTATTTAAAATAGAAAAAGGTACAAGGCAGGGTTGTCCCTTATCCCCCTTGTTATTTGTATTAACAATGAAGATTTTACTTATTAAAATTCGAGATTCATCTAGATTAAAGGGAATAAAAATAAGTAAGATTGATTATAGGCTGAGAGCTTTTGCTGATGATTTGGTTGTGACGTTATCCCACCCAACAGATTCGGTCAGAGACTTGGTTGAAATTTTAGCGCAGTATGGACAGGTCTCTGCTTTTAAGGTGAATAAGAACAAAACTAAAATATTATTGAAAAATATGTCTATGAAGGGAAATGATATTATAGTTGAAGCAACAGGTTATGAAGTAGTTAATAAGGTTAAGTATTTAGGAGTACATATCACAACATCTAATGGAAAATTGTATAAGAATAATTATGAACGCTTATGGGTAAAAGTACAAAAAGATTTAAATGATTGGCAAAAATTACAACTATCGTTGCTGGGGAGAATCTCAGTAGTAAAGATGAATGTTCTACCAAAGTTTCTTTTTTTGTTTCAGATGATACCTATCTTAAAAAAGGATGCTAATTTGGATGAATGGCAGAAAGGTATCAATAAATTTATCTGGGGTGGGAAGAAATCAAGGGTAAAGTTTAAGATTTTGCAAGACACTCGAGAAAGAGGTGGACTTAAAGCACCTAATTTGAAATTATATTATGATGTGGCCACTTTAACTTTAGTAAGTGATTGGCTTAATTTAACAAATAAAAATATTCTTGCTCTTGAAGGTTGGGATTTATTATATGGTTGGCATGCATATTTAATTTTTGACAAGAAAGTAGATCTGGTTTTTAAGTCACACATTTTAAGAAATGCTTTACTTCGAGTTTGGAAGAAGTATTATTATAAGTTAAATTATAAAATACCTATTTGGGGGATTCCCGGACAAGCAATTCAGGGGATTTCTAAGGGGGTGAATTTTGATAATATTTCGTATAAAGAATTACTTATTTGGTCGGGTACTGATTGCAATTGAAGTCTTCAGATTTGTTAAGGCAAGAAAATATTTTACAATCATGGTTTCAATATTTGCAAATAGTGGAGAGGTGGACCTTAGATAAGAAAGTGGGAATCACCTTAGCAGATGAAAATTTGGTAATTCAGATTAAAGATCAGAAATATGCTCATATTAAAAGAATTTACAATGAGTTAATAAAATTGGATTCGGAAACAGAGCTAGTAAAAGATTGTATGATTAAATGGGCTCAGAATATTCAGGAACCGATTTTATTGGATTTATGGCAGTTAATTTGGATTAGAAATGTTAAATTTACGCAGGATCAAAATTTGAGGGAAAATTTTTATAAAATGTTATATAGATGGCATCTGGATCCTAAAAAGTTGTCTTGTATGTACCCGAACCTGCAACCCAAATGTTGGAGATGTGGTAGCTTGGATGCAACTTATTTTCATGTTTGGTGGACTTGTAAAAATATTAAAGCCTTTTGGATTATGATTTGGTGGAACATTCAAAA